AAACTATATGTCAGATGAGTAATAGGGGAAAGACACTGAGGCACTGAAACATTAAAGCTAACATATCTAGAGGGTACTTAGTATCAGACAGTGCTCTCTGGATTTAAAGATCCTGACTCTGCAAAAGCACATGTGTAGGGATGTTTTAAAAAATTATGGTTTCATTGAGACATAAATTGCATAATTTTCAGTGCTCTGTGCCTAACCTGAGCTACATATCACTTCTCCCTTTGGAAAATTTTGTGTGTAGCTCAATAGAAAGTACAAAGAGTTCATTTTGGGGCGGTGGTTTAAGCTCTGTTATCCAAAGGTAGCTCCAATCCACTTATTCCTTGCTGGGGCTGCGGGACGGGCAGGGCAGGAAGGAAACACCTATTTCTATCAAACTGTGTGTTTCTCAAGGATATAACTCTCCTTTTCTATTGGTATGGCCAAGAAGGCTCGACCTTGGGTGACAAAGACCAGGAGGATGGAAGGTTGTTTGGTTTGCTGGAGAGGTTTTGTAGAGTTTGGTATGTTGTTTGGTATGTCTTTGCTTTTTTGCAGGCTAGTAGAGAAACAGTGCTGGAAATACACTTTGTCTGCAAACACGTCTCAAAGGAGAGTCTTCATCCTTGTATTCAGTATAAACTAAGACATTTCTCATGCCGTAGTTCTTTACCTTTGTGCTTGCCACAAGTGGGTTTTGCTTTGTGCTTCAAGCAAAGCCTTTTGATAGTGATTCTTTTTGTTGTTCCTCCCTAAATATCAGGTGTCATTAGCAGAAATGTGAAAAATGAGCAAGTGTTCTAAAGCCAAATGCTGTGGAAAAGCAGAGCACACAATGAGCATGGAATCTGGATTCTTATGTCATCCACAGAACAGAGCTTTTAGGTCAGCATAGACTGTTTTTTCACTACCATCTTTTGTACCCAAGGATGCTGATACAATACCCTTTCATGAACAGCAGACTTGTACAATATGCTGTAAAAGAAAATACAGGGTGTTCTTTTGTTACCAAAAACTTTTATTTGTATATTTGCATCTTCTACTCATCCTACTCATGAATTTGTGTGTGCTTTCAGAGGACTAATTTTAAGAACAGAAGGCTTAATGCATGCAAGAAATTCTCTAGTATTTTGGCTCATGAAATCTGTATTTGGGAGGTGACTACCATTTCAAGCTCCAGCCCAGCAGTGTGTGTGTAGCTTTGATAGTCTCTTACTTAACAAATATTTAATGTACTACTAATGACTGCAGGTACTGCAAAAAGATTGTCTTTGGTATTTAGCTGCTTCTGATGTTTTGGGTTTTTTGGGTTTTTTTTTTTTTTTTCATGTATTTAGAGCAGATTCCAGTTTGCATATGAGTAACATCATGTCAGTCCTAGTTCTTTCGTTCTGACATCTCTTTTGGCTCCCGGTGCGATTTGGCCTGCTTTTTCAAAATGTTGGTCCTGAGTCCAAATGTAACTTTGTGGGTGGTACATATGTCAAGCCCTAGTTCAGTTTTTTTGGACAGCAGCACCATTTAATAATTCTTCTGAAATGAAAAGAAGAAATGAAGTTAACTGAAAGAAATGCAGCTAGATTTAGCTGGGCAAAAGCTTGCCTTTTTTCCTTCCCCCTCTTTACTGCTCTGTTTTTCCATTTGGAGAAGTAGAGATTTACGTGGCAGAAGCACTGACAGGATTAGGCTAACTCAGAGCAGCAAGCAGTAGCGTGGCCTTGTCTTCATAACCTGTCTTCTCATGCCCTGGTAGCTGTTGAATCCTTCTGGGATGCAGATGAGGGAGATGAGGAGTGAGGAGAATCGGAACCCTGCATTTGTGTTTGTTAAAACAGCAAGATAGACTGAATTATGAAGATGTCTGAACAAGGCTGCGTTGGTATTAAAAAAAGCCAAACAACCCCCTCAGGTTCTCCATATGTCTGTGTTTGATATACTGATTGCCATATTATATCTTTATGTACAGCATACTCTCTAAAGAGCACAGGAAGGTATAAATGCAACTTTACTGCATAAAGTCAAGTGAAATAGTCCAGAGGGTTATAGCTTGTGTGAAATAAACACATGTACAAAGTACAGGAGGTTTCACATGGCATAAATCACCAGGAACTTCATAGCTTCCTTCCTTCCTTCTTCCCTGCGCAGTTGCAGAGCTGCTAGCTGAAAAGCTGTCCTTCATCATTCTTTTGCAGGAAACCACAAGCTCATATATTATTAATTCTTATTCACTAGTAGTGCAGGACTTAGGTGCTTTTCTTGAGTGTCTCAGATTGCTTTTCAGTGTATCCATGCCAGCTCTACTGCTGCGGTCACCGTTCTTATGCATTGTTTCTCAAAGACTGATAATTTTTCAGGCAATAGCAAAATTGATGCAGAAAAAAGAAAAGCGTGAGATGAATCTTGACACCCAAGTTCTGAGTCCAAGAGGTGATTTGCTGTGAGAAACCACAAAACAAATCACTGTTGGCCTAGGGGTCTTCCCTAATTGAGTGTCATATCTTCAAGAGGTCATAAGCCACTCAGATGCCCTTCCTAATCTCTTTATGAAACAAGTAGGCTTCCGCCTTTGCAACATAGCCTCAGCCAACATCCTTGCACTATTGTCACAGTGAAAGATGGTCTTTATGGTGAGTCCTTAAGAATTGATGGACTCAGTCATGGAGACCATTCTTTTGAAGAACACTGGCTCAGATGATAATTTTTTTCCCTCCACCTCTCTTTCCTTTTTCCCTTTCTTCCTAATCCACAGTTGGTGTGAGATGCTGAAAAGCAAATCAAAGAGAGAGGAGAAAGTGGTATGAAAAGTCAGTCCCTATTTTGGCTACTTATAAGATAATGTGGAGTGGGAGCTTTAGTCTTCAGTATTTTTAGTTATCTTGCAAATAATGTTACTTGTAGGTAAAGAATGAATTTTCTTATTCCTTTAAAAAGGGAGGTTACAAGTACTGAAGTCATGTCAAGTTATTCATGTTTGCTATTTGTAACAAATATGTCTAGCAACTTAAAAATCCAACAGGAATTGCTGGGCTTGTGGTTTGCATTAGTCATTTGACTCCAATGACTAGTATGGACTCAGCTGACACACCATTTGTCTTGGTGTTGGAGCACAACTGCTTCTGTGCAAAGGAATGAGAAGGATTCTGACTTCTTCTCAAGGAGGTTTTCCCAAGGCTTCCAGCGTTGTAGGCCCAGCTGGAAGCTGTGGGATGTGTTCGTGAGCAGCCAGGCAGTGAATAGAGCTGTGGTAAAATTTTCCTCTTTGTTCAAACCAGGATATCCAAGTTGGTGAGTGAGGCACAGTTCTGATTTATTGCCTGCTGGATGTAAAGAAAGGAACAGGAGCAAAGTCCATGACTGACTGACTCATCCTTCCCAAGAAAATGCCATTCCAAGTTTTGAATGTCAGTAAAATTTTATTATGCTGGCTATGAGTACTGATTTGTGCTATTTAAATGTTTTCTCCATAGTATCACTTGAGATGCCCAGGTATCCAAGATATTCTTGACTACTGAGCTTCCCATGAAGTGCCCACTGTGTTTTGCAAACCCTACCTGGTTCTGTTTAGTGATATCTTGTAGTGTGGGTGTGGAGACTTCCACTGCTGTTTCTTCTTTTAGTTTTGGTTTATTTTTGTTTTTTTTCTACCCTACTGCCCAAATCCCAAAAAGGACCAAACCTGAGATTACTAGAAAACCAATGGTGGGCCTTAAATATCTACACTGCTACTTCAAGTCCGAGGCTTGCTTGTTTGCTGCAATATGCATAGCTACGTAAAACAGCACTATTGATCCCAGATCTATGCCATACTTTATTGAAGCAGGGGGCAGTTCAATTACAGTTTAGGACCTCACCCTTAATTTTTAATTTCCTGCCGATTTGTGTCACATTGCTTAAATTGAATGTATCTCCCTCAGGCTCAAGCAGCCAGCCCCGCTTCAGAGCCACACAGCAGGGGCTGATGGGGGCTGGCAGGGCCCTGCTGTGGTCCTCTCCCTTCTGCTTCATTGAGGAGTGCTGACTTGTGCTTTCAATGATGGTTTTGGTATCACTCCAAGGATTGAGGCAGGCATAGAATGGAGGAAGGACAACATGCAGGAAATAATCTGGGGAGGGTCAATTTTGTAGCGCAAAAGGAAGCATGTCCCTATGGAAAGCTGTGGGGTGACATACCTTGATCACAGAGTCTGCTCAGCCCTTTGGCCCCAGTTTGTGTCGCAAAAAAATAGGGGGCTCTGTGGCTGTGAGAGTGACAGCCATCTTATTTATTTCTCACTGGCAAAATTGCTCACCTTCTCACCTCATCAGTGTCAACAGCTGGATGTGTAAAAGGCAGAGTGCACAGGCACATGGCAAGCAGAATCAGAGCATGAACATTTACTTCCCATGTCCATTGGAAAAGTGATGCAAAATATAAAATTTCTGGCAACCTTGAATGTTGTAGTCAAGGTCAAATAAGCACTAAATAGCCTTTTAAAACTCTTCGGCGTGTGAATGCTGCTTGGTTTAAGCAATCTTGGAAGGTGAGAACATTATTGGAGAGCTGTTTCACACCGTGACCATGTATGCACACAGTTGTTGCTCATCATTCCATGTTAACTGTGTGCATCTAGTCATTTCTTGGCTTTTTGTTGGCTAATATTTTCTAATGGCACTGTATTATGGTATAGCTGTTGCCATAGCCAACAATATCTTACCTGATAAGGATGCTGTACCAGTCTACCTCTTTCTCCTTGCAGGCAAGAGGAGCAGGTTGGTGTACTATGTCCTTCTTTGTGATCACTTTTTCTTTGGAGAAATTGAATAAATCTTCATTTAAAAAAAAAAAAATAATAATCTTTCCAGAGGAAAAGGAAAGTATATCTTGGATAAAAAACAGAGTCCCTAGAAAAATAATGATTCAAAAGGAAAAAAAAAAAAAAAGAAAAGCAATAAAGAAATCACAGCTGTTTGTTTCAGGGCGCTGGGTCACTAATTGAGTGCAAGCTTTATAAATGTTGTTTGTCCCCCCACAGGGCATACAAAACCATTGAGGAAGATGACTTGAAGTTTCCCCTTATCTATGGAGAAGGCAAGAAGGTGGGCACATGCGCTTTCCTCAGGGCAAAGAAGAAGGAATTCTGTGCTGTTTACCACTCAGCTTAGCCTATGGCAGTCCAATGTTTTCCACTCAGTATCTCTTTATTTTATCGCTTTGACAGCTTGAGAGAATATCTTGGTTCTGTCATAAATCAGTCGCGTGTCTAGGATGGAGGAAAAAGAAGAGCTCGACATTAAAAAGCAGTTCTGTAGCAAGCATAGTCATTTGTTGTTCAGTTTGATTTAGTTTTTGTTCCATTGTAAATAACCAGGCTGCAGTAAGACCTGTTCAGTAAATGACTTTAAATGATCCTGGTTTGATTGTAAGATATAACTAGTCTGGATGAAGACAGCAAAATAGCTCTTGTTTGCTGAAAACAAAGCAGGGAGTTCTTTAATAACAATGTACAGTGCTTTGAGATGTAAAAAACCTAATTAAGAAGAAAAGGGATCACGGCAGGATTTAGGAATTATAACAGCCCTTAACCACATCTTCTGCTGCTGTATGTGAACTCACCTTTGAATTTTTCTGATGTGATTCCTGTTAATTTTTCTTGAAAGGAAAAAGTGAACCCTTCCATTTGGATGAAATTTGTTTCCAATTCCTTGATTAAGAACAGTGAGATCATTAGTGCTGATCCCAGCAAGCTTAGCTGGATGCAGCAATTGGATCAATACAAGGGCGCAGTGGTGTCAGTTTGCCGATATTGGTATGCTCACTGTGTTTCTAAATAGTGCTCCTCTTTATAGCTGCTTTAGGTTCTTATCTCAATGCAAAAATGCATGCTGTTCAAAATTAGCCCGAGTTTTGAAGGTTCAGACCTGCAGCTTATCTCTGAATTTGGTTAGTTTTATAATTATTTGCAAAATGTTTCATTCACATCTTTTTAATTTACTCTCTTATTGCGTTATGGAGCCAGGGGTGAATGAGACAAAATAATTTTGAGTCAGTCTCGCACTGTTACTGTTGCTGTGAGCATTCCTGCTCAGAAGCTGCTGTGGCAAAGCCAGAATTTGACAGAAGTGAGGTGCAGGTAGCAGAGAGCTAGGTTCCCCATGAGACAGAATGCCTGGTCTGTCCCTGGAGAAGCATTACTCAAGAAGAGCCTGGCACCTCTTGAGAAACAGTCATTGTCTCAAGAGGAAGATGTTTAAGGAAAAAAGCATTAGAACTGAAGTAATAGCAGAGAGCCACAGAGTCCATTGGCACCATCGCCGGTGTGGTCTTGCAGTTCTTGTGCTCTGTGTATTCAGCAGCTGGCCCTTGGCATTTTTCCTTGGTAGAGAGAATGTGTGGCACTATGTCAAAAGGAGGGAGCCTCAGGTTTCTTAAGTGAGTAATTAGGCTCTTTGTCCTTTTTACAGTACTTACTTACTTTGTACAAATAGTATAATTTGCTGAAGGAGTGCTCTCACTGACTGATATGGAACAGCCAGGTGACTGTCACATATCGGTTCTATATAGTTTCACACCTCACAGGTGGTCATATTCTAAGGTGAACATGTGCAGACTGAAATGTGGACAAATACAAAATAAGAAATGGAGATACTGTGAGTGTGAATGTTAGAAGTTGATTAGCTATGTTAAATCTTAAGCTCCTGGGAGAATAAGGGAAATTCATCCCTGACTGCAGCAGTTATAGAGTATCAGAAAATCATTAAGATTGGAAAGGACCTCTAAGATCATGTAGTCCAACTGTCAAGTAGGAATGTTGTCTCTTTCCATCTTGGCACAGTGCTTGTAACAGCTTTTGACCCCATCTCTTTATTTCTAGGCTCGGGTTATGGCAACAATTGGCGTGACTCGAGGACTGGGAGACCACGACCTGAAGGTTCACGACTCCAATATCTACATCAAACCTTTCCTATCCTCATCTCCTGAGGTAAAACTGCCAAGCTTCAATGACCTCATTTGTGGGAGAGAAACAAATGTACTTACTGTGCTTATTTGTTCTTCCCAACTCTGACTCTGTTCTGATTGCGGCTCAATCCTGGTAACATGCTGCACTTCCCAAAGGTGTTTGTGGGGTGACGCCTGAAGTTAGTAACATCCTTGGAATAGGAATGTTACGAATTCCCCAGCTGTTTGCCTTCCTCCAATTGATCCTTATCCCAGCCAGAGCATTGACGTATTCTTTCCCTTGTCGTTGGCTATCATATATCCTCACCATTCACTGTGACCATCTCTCCCCATTTTCATGTGCTCTGACTTCCTTTCCTGGATTATGTCTTCTCAGAAGCAGAGATAAACCTGCCTTCTCCAAAAGGGGGCATTGGATGTCTTCCGCAGTAGCGTGCATGCTGCTTTAGGCAGAGTGTACCAATCTAACTGCTAAGTAGGAAAATGCCAGAAGCATGTTGGAAGAGTGCTTTATGCTTCCATCTGGCTGCCTCTTCACATCTTGTGCTTAATCCTTTCTGCTGGTTTTGTGCAAACCCCAAATAATGGTATACATGGCACTGCGCATTCCCAGATGATAGCATAAGGAGGAGATTATGTGATATTTACTATGATGAGGTAGTGAACTTGCAACTTACCTGTTTGGGAATCAGTTTTAAATGTTTCCATCATGACTTGCAAACAAGTCCAGTTTTTAATCACCATAGACCTTGCAGTGAAAGATATACAGGCTTCTAAAGGAGGTTGCATGTTTTTTTTGCCCATGAAGAAACATGCAAAATTTTTACTCTGTGGTTTTATTTGTCTTCCTACATCAGAGAACAGATGACATATTCTCTATAAAATATTCAGCAAGGGCATGCCATCCTGAAAAGAGGAGGCTTTACTGCTGTAGCCCAATTGCCATCCATTGTCAGCTGGCTTTCTGTTGTTTTAACCACACCCAGTACCTGACCTTGAATCTGTTGCTTGCTACAGCAATAAATAAAGCACATTGTGACCTACTGTAGGGTAGCTGCTTTAGCAGGGGAGTCAGACTCAATGATCTCTTGAGGTCCCTTCCAGCCCCTGCAACTCTGTGGTTCTGTAATGCAAGAGAATGAAAATACACAAATGACACAACACTGTCAGGAAGGAAGAAAATGACTTACTTGACCTTGCTTATAACATCTTTGAGACTTGAAAATTAGAAAGAAACGCTGAGACTTTCTGGTCCTGGGTAAGAGGAGGAGGTCCAGAGACAGCCCCTTCTTCACTTTTCCTTGCTATCAATCTAGTCCCTTCCCTCTCCCCACTTCAAGTGTGTGGAGTCCATCACTTGGGACCTGCTGCTGTTCTCTGTCAGGCAGGCAGCAGCTCTGCCCTCATCACTTCGATGGTTTTGTTTAGCGCCAGTGAAATGATGCAATTTTACCTATTTATTTTTCTGCCTGGCATGCTGAGACACACTGTTTCTGGGGTATGTAATAGCTGCAGCGCAGCATCTCAGCAGTATCATCTCTGCCAATTGCTGCTGTTGTATTTGTCTGTGCATATAAACCAATGCCTCTCATGGGCTTTTCTAATTTGTGTGTACTGTGTGTGTGTGCACGTGTTCAAATTGTGGAGTGTGGCATTCAGTTCCTATGCTATCCACGTTTCAGGATCTCTTAACTGCATTATTAAAGGGAAGCAAAATTGTTTGTGTTTCCATGTTCCCTTTTCAGCTAAATTCAGCAGAAATCTACTAGGGCAGCAGGAGTAAAGACAGAGCACCAGTGACCTTGATTTAGAGACGTAGGAAAGGAGGAAAGAAAAAAGAACTAACCACACAACTTGAATTATATTAGGAAGTAACATATGCTCTGACTTGCTTGCCACTGAGCCTCTTTTTTTTTGCCATCTCTTCTTTCTCTTCCCAGAGAGGCCCCCAGTACTTCATCTCCTCACGTTTTTCTTCATCTTCTTCTGTTTATATGTGGACACCGTGTGCAGAAACCAGCACTAAGAAAAGTCTTTATGCTGCCATCTGGGAAACCTGGCACTTGGAAGCAAGTGCAGTGGCCTCGGGCAGACAGTCACATTTGGCCTTTAGTGCAGCATTGCATTTTGAATCCTCTTTGTAGAGGTAGGGAAGCACAATGTCTGGTTTCCAGACCTAGAAAAGGGGAAGCACAGGAAGTGAAGGCACACAGTGAGTCGTGACATGGGGAGAATCCAAGTCTGGCTTCTGTTTCCGTGCTGTAATGACAGTGTCCTTTCCAAATCTGGGGGAAAGGTGATTTTTTATTTTTTTTTTTTTACTGCTGTGTGACAAAATTCTGGTATGGTATGTCCACCAAAATTTGTCTGAAGGAAAGGTAAGCATCCCTGTGACTACATCCAAAAATAGAGAGAGAAGTAATTTGGGAGTGGTGTGAATTTACACTTTGATAGAGTGCCAGGCTATGGGAGGAGAAGTCATGTAGCCAAGACTGACAAATGTAATCAGGATTCAGTGGCTCAGCTGTTTTGAGACCAGATATGGAGAACTTCTGCAGGTTGGTGAGCTCTAGAGAATTGAGCCTTTTATAATGAACTGGAGAAGCACAAAGCAGGCAAGCCATGGCTGAGGCTCTCTGGCATGGAATTAAATATTTATTTTTCATAATGGAACAGCTCATTTGAAAGCTTTCAGCAGGAAATTCCGCATTTTAAGGCTCAGCAAGGCCCTTCTTGTTGCAGCTGTGAAGCAGAATTTTAACCTGAAATTTTCAAGCAGCAGCTCAGCTCAGCTCAGCTATTCAGTGGAAGCAGTGTGGCTCTGACAAAAGCACTTGGTCTTTGCTGGCGATGAACCCAACGTCACCCGGCAGAGCAAATGATAAGAGAGTAACCAAGGAGAATTTTTCCCTTCTCAAATGCGTTAGTGAAATCTTTCTGACAACTTCACAAATATGTCAGAGGAGACTGTTTTAGATTCACATCTGCCTTCTGGAGAAATCTTGGGGAATTACAGCATTTAAAGGAATGAGCAAGGCAAGGACTTTGAGAAGTACTGTTTGATCAAAGGGAGTCAAGGTGGTTTAAGGAAGCAAACATCACGCTTTAGTAGCTTCAAGTCCTTCAGGGGTATGTCTACTAGAGAATTAAACAAATAAAAATGCAGTAGATGATCTTGCCTGAGCACTTTGATTTCTGAAAAAGAGAAAACATTTGAGAGACTGTTCTGCATCACAGGTTATTAATATAAAAAGATATGAAGCTGTAGACTAAGTGGAAAGTTGGCACAGTCTACTGGAAATTGGCTATAGGGCAGGAAACAAAGGGTGGCAGTAAAAAGCTAAAAGGAGATTAATTGGTGAGTGCTGCAGGGAGTAGTGTTGGGACCCGCTTTTTATTATTTACATATAAATTACTTGGAGGGTGGTATTGAAAGATCTCGTCATTTGCCAGTGGAGCTGCTCTGGATAGCACTGCACATAAAAAGGGACAATACAATTAAGAAGGGGTTTAATTTATTGCAGAGGCTGGGTTGATCAGTGCAGACAACTGAATGCGGACTGTTGTTTGGTTTGGATTCTGCCTGGCAGGCAGCTTGGGAGCACCTCAGATGGCTGCAGTCTCCTGTGCCAGTTCACTGGGAATAGTTTTCACACCACAGGGACTCACATTGGCTGCCTCCTAGAAACAAAGCTGGCAAGCAGGTCTTAGTGCCTTTGCAGAGCTGGTGCCATCCTTGATCTGAGCCAAATGCAGGTTTTGTCCACTGGGTAGATCTGTTTGAGATATGAATATAAAACCTGCCCACCTGTTCTTTCACTGCTTGCCTAGAGCATTTTTCTCAGTGCTTCTGATTTCATGTAGGTGAGCAATATTGGAAAGAAATATCCAGAATGAGGAAAGGCATTAAGTGGCAAACTGCTTGATACATGTTCAGAAAGGTGTCATAGGTGACTGCGGGCCTTGGTAGTGTGCATCCAATGCTAAATTTCAGCAGAGATCTGTTAGTACCAGTCAAGAAACATCTAGTGTAACCCAACTCTTAATGTCATGGGTGTTTGTGCTGTCAACGTGGTATTGCTTCCTATTTTCTGATTGCTGACGTCAAATCATAGAATCACAGAATCATAGAATCATAGAATGGTCTGTGTTGGAAGGTACCTCAAGGATCATCAAGCTCTAACCTCCCCACCACAGGCAGGGCCACCAACCTCCGCATTTAATACTAGACCAGAATGAATGAGTTAACGGGTCAGCTGCTCCACATCAAGTCAGATGGTAGTACAAGTATGGTGACCATACTGGAAGCCTTCACTGGGTGTCCTGTTGCTCCACAGATGTTAAAGAAGGATGTTTGCTGGATTGAATTGAAAGGGATTGGGAGAATCCTAGGGAGTTGGTGGCAGTGCTGAACCTGAACCTTCAACAGGCAGGAATCTTGCCTGAAGTCGACCCACATTGTTTTCTGTCACCTTGGCATTCTGCTTTCCTAAGTACCAGCCTGCTATCCATTATTGCTCACCTTGCTCTACGTTTTTCTCACTGACACTCCTTTCTGGATGTGCTCAGTTCACAGAGCTTTTACCATTAGGAAATCCTAGCTTGTACTCAATTGTACTCAACTCATTCATTATCTGTAAGAACAGTTGTTGTGGGGTGTGGAGGTTTTGTGTTGTTTTCAGATTTTTGGGGAGAATATGTACTCTTGGTAAAGTAATCTCCTTCTGGTGTTGGCCTTGAGTGGTGCTACACCAGCGCTGAGGAAAAGGCTCTTGTGGCTAAACATATGCTTTGCCTGGGTGGGTGAACCATGGTGGGTGTATTTTTTCTAGTGACGGTGTTAGAAGCTTTTTTGTATGAGATGCTTGCTGCTGAGCAAATGCCAGAGCTGTAGCTGTGATGCTATCCAAAATACTTGCCTGTACCTAGGAGAGCTGACCAGAGTGTGCAGAGCACTTCTGGTCACCGTGGTGGCCAGCTTGTCCCTGTACCCACTAATTTTCCAGGTGCAACTCTGGGCTCTGACAGTAGAACGGAAGTCTGGGAGATGGGAGCAGTGGCAACTTCTGCCTTTTGTGTAGCAGACCTGAAAGGAGTTCTGTGCTGCATATAAGGATCTCTATTCCCTCTCAATCTGAATAAGGCGATGTGCTCTAATTAAGAGAGTATCTTGCCTTAACTTTAATCTTCTCCAAAGTCCTTTCTCAGACGCTACCTTAGATAATGAAGTGAGGTTACATTTTACAAATGACCTTCTTGTGCTTTTGAGTGAAAGGCGAACAAGTGAGGATTAGCAGTGAGGTCGAGATGATTGTTTCCTCGGAGCTGCTTGCAGCCCCTTAAAATCATAATTACATTAAAAGGTCCAGGCATTTTATGTGCATTTCCTGCTCCTGAGGAGACAGTGCACCAGGAGGGAGAACAAAACAGCTCGGTGTCTGGTGGCTGTGCCAAGCGCTTGTCCCAGCACATTTGTTGCAGTCAGTAAAGGCTGGTCTATGCAGATCTTTTCCTCCTGTCTGCCTCACCAAGGTTGCCAGGCTGCTTTCAATTTGGTGTTGTTGCTGTGGTGGTTAAAGTTCTCCATGGTGGCTGTCGTGCCTGGGATCTGCAGGGGCTGCTGGTGTGTCCACTGGAATGCAGCATGTGCTGGAAGGACAGTTATGTCCACCAAAAGGCTCACTTTAAAACACTCCCGATGACGTATGCACATGTTTGGGCTTGGCTAGCAGTCTCTGGGTCATCGGCCTTTGCTGCCAGCTTTCTCCATCTCTCAGGGACAGGGCCGTGGGTGGCACTGCAGGCTGGGCCTCACGCCATGCTGACAGCCATGGTCGACCTGGCTGCGGTGGTGAAGCCAGCAGGCATTGCAAGAAAACAATACTGTGAGAATACGCTTGGGGGTTCACTTCTGTGCCAATCTAGAATGGGTCTCTACCCACTTTTAAGATACTCATAATTGAGCAGGTAAAGAGTTTCTGTTCATTTTGTGGAACTGTTTGCTTGCTCAGGCATAATTCCTAAGTGCAGCGCATGCTTTGGGTCTAGAGAGGCAAATGAGATGCCTTCTCCTGTGTAGACGTTTCCAAACGTGTACAATTTATTTGGCAGAGTTAAATGGATCTGGACAAATGATGAAAACAATTATTTTTGAATACTTTATTAGAAAATATCAAAAATTCATCAAATAAATTATTCAGCCTCCGTTTGACTAGCCCTGCCAGCAAGAGGGAAGAGCTCTGCATGCAGAACCAGGCTGGCTTTGATCACTGCTGGCAGCACAGAGCCATGCAGCCCAGCTCAGCAACACTTGTATCCGTTCTGACTGGGTCAGTTCAGGGCTGAGCTGGGCCGGGAGGAGCTGCAGGCTGGAGAGCTGGCCTGCAGGAGATGGATTTCAGTGCCCTGGCCAACCCCCTATCTCAGAGCCAGCTCAGCAACAATTCACAAACAGATTTGGCAGTTTCCTCCTTCATGAATGTTTTTTTTGTGTGTTTTAGGTAAGAGTCTACGACCTACTGCAGTATGAGCATGGGCCGGACGATGTTCTGATCCTAGCTACAGATGGACTCTGGGATGTGCTGTTAAATGAAGAAGTGGCAGAAGCTGTCACTAACTTCCTGCCAAACTGTGACCCTGATGATCCCCACAGGTTTGTGTTCATCCCTTGGCTTTCCAGCTTCTCTGAAATTAAGAATGCTTTTTGGTAACATATTTGTGTAGAACATATGATGTGGGTAACATTCAGCAAACTTGCATGCTTTTATACAGCAGGGAGAGTCTGTATAGCAAGTGTGTTTTTTTCTGTTATAACTCAGAAATGCCTGCCATCAGAGGAAAGTTGTGAGATCATGGTATCTTGGCACAAGATCCATTTTTTGTGCTGTAGTAGATTCTGTAGAAACCATAGGAGGTTGAAGACAGAGAAGAACATGACAACAGGTCTCCAGCAGTCACAGGATTCCATCTGGCTCTCCCCTGGATAGTCTTTTAACACTGAAGAAGTTGTTTCTTGCTTGGACCTTAGCAGCATCTCTCTCCCTCTAGATGTATGGATAAATACAACACAGTGTGGGTGCTACGCATTGCAAGTCACACTGTGACCTTTGAAACCATTGCGATAGTGGATGCTCAGTGCCTGCCAGCTGCCAAACAGGTGTGGTGACAAAATAGGTGCAGAGTTAGATTCTGATTCAAGTTGCTGGATTCTGTTTATTTCGGAATGATCCTTTTCATTTTCCCATGTTTATCTCCTCTTACTTGGTCAGCTTCTCTCTTTGAAGTACACCATCAAGCAAACAAAATCTTCCCAAACACTAACTAGAGCACCACAGTGGGTTGGTCTGCCTGTCTGCTGCTGAGTTCCCTGTGCCTGTCTGTCACTGTGAACTAAAGCATCATGCTGGAGATCAGAAGTCTTTCACTTCTAAAACAGAATGATGAAAGGGAAATAGCTTTATCCATCTCTAGAAAGTGTTCCAAAAGGAAAAGCCTTTCAGAACGCAAGTTTGGATGGCCATGGTTGTCTTCTGCCCTCTCATTGGGCTGAGAGTGTGGGAAGAGAGCCCTCAGATCACCCCAGTTGGCCTGTAAAAAGCGGAGTTTGGGAGATAAGCACTGGGATATCTCAGCAGCCAAGTGAGAAAATGTAGGACTGTTTCACTCACTTGAATGAATGTGCCAGTTTCAGTTGTTCAGATGTTGCAGCTCTTGAGGGTAAACCAGTCACAAAATGCTTTGTGTTTTTAATTTTTCTGAGCGGGCATTTTCATGAGGTCAACTCTGTTCTCCATCAGTAAACAAGGAAGACAACGAGTGGATACAGACACCCTGGCAGCCACTTGGGATTTACAGTGACAGGCACTCCAAAGCAAATCACAAGCAGTATGTTCTTACCGGACACTTACTCAGAAGCGTGGAATGCAAAATAATGTTTTGCTGCAAGCACTCAGTTGTCAGGTGAATGGGTGACGAGCTTGAAGCTGCAACTGCAGTACTTTGACCTTCCTTCCTCCTTGCCCTGAAGAGGAGGTGGGGCACTAACGACAACCAAGGGCTTCTCTAATTCAGCAAGGCATGAAAGTTCTTCTGTCCTCCATCTGAGAGAGATCAGGCATGGCTAGCGAGGGGCACTTCCACCTGGCACTGTGCTCTGCAGATAAGCTTTTCAGTAGGAGGGGACCCACCCAATCAACTGGGTGGTAGGGAGATTTTTCTTTGAGTTCTGCACCCTGGCTGTCCTCCTGCAAAGACAGCTGGTACAGTGTAAAGCCTCTGTCTCCATTCTCATCGAGTAATTGGGAAAGGTTGGCTCATCCTACCGTCTGGCCTGGTCCTACCTGTTCATTGTGAATACAGTGTGAGTGCACTGCGTCGGTCTTGTTCCTTCCGGTGTTCCCAGCGCTGGTGGTAATCAATGCTTTTGTTGCAGTAGAAATAGGAATTCTTTTTTTAATCTTTTTTGCTTGCTGGGTGAATGATCTCTCATCTGTTATAAGTAAAATATCGAGAAATCAGAGACTAAAAGAAGAATATTTTCTTAGATGTAGATTTGTTTGTGCTCATTTGGCCCCAGTAAGTGTGGGAGATTAGTCCTGTTTGTAGCAGTGTAACGCACTCTAGAATTGAGCCTGATGTATTATGAGTTAGAGCAAACACATTTATTAGTGTTTGACCTACAGATCTGTGAATGGACGCCTGAGTTGAAAATTTATTTGTTCTTTTCAGTAACTTTGTGCCAGGTCATTTAGAGGCTTACAAATAGTGGCACCAAGACATTTCTCATACCAGCTTGCAAAAGGTAATTAGAACAGTCCCTCATATAGTTTACAGTGATATTTATGAAAATTACCTTTGTGGAATTGCTATTTGGTTATAAAGAATATTTAAAGGGTTTAAAGTACTATGTGAGAGGTTTTATGTAATTACTTCAGTGGTCCAAATAAGGTATAACTAATGACTTTACAATAGCATAGCACCTCAGACTATGGAGTTGTGTTAATTCCTCTCACTAGTCAGTGACAGGAGAATTGTGTTTGCAGTGTTATCAGTGTTGCATTTAGAGGAAATGTTATCCCACAGAATGTCAAGTTCTGTGATGAGTGCATCTGGAGCCTGTGATGAGGTGAGCAGCTGGGAATGTACAATCCCTAGGGATGTAGAAAACTTGTCAAAATGGAAGAGAGTTGCCCCCCTAGGCTTCATAATTCTGCAGAGTTCTGAAGAACCTACCTGTTGGAGCGGACCCTGCATCCATCTGACCCAGTAGCCTACTTATTCCCTGACAGCAGCATACTTGGGAAAAAATAAATAAATAAATAGGAAGATTTTAGAGCTGCAGAGCACTTATCGGTTATGTAATCAGCTCTTTGAGGGAGCAACATCCCTCCCATTTGAATTAGGAGTCGTTTTACAGCCTGATGGATAAGAGCTCATAGCCCTTGGGAAAGCCCCTGGGACTCTTTCCTGTTGCTATTTACTGTCAGAACTATGAATGTTTGTTACCCACAGAAAAACATCTTTGAATCCTGTCAAATGTAACATGTGCCTGGGCATCTCCAAGTGCAGAGGGAGTGAAGCTGGTTCTGTCTTCAGCCAGCCATGCAGACACAACCCCAGGGGATCTGGGCAATGAGTGATGAGAACAGACGTGATGAGAGAGCGGTTCCTCTGTGAGGGCTGGGCAATTCTGTGATGGAGTGAAGAAGCTGAGCTTGAGTTGGATTTCTTTGCTAGCTCAGTTCAGACAGGAGCATGAAGGGGACCCTGAGCAAAGAGAAGGGGTAATGACACGCATTACGTGACAGGTGTTTTTCGTACATCTGTCTGCAGAAGTATGAAGATGAAGAAGAGTGTGAATGTTGACCATTTCCTTCAAGCTGCACCTGCTTACACACTGACATAGGGAATCTGCTGCTTCTCCTCCTCCCTCCCATCTTTTTTCATCCCCTCTCACACTCTCCTTCACCCTTGTGGAGATTTACGAGGGTGCTGGGAAGCTGCTTTGCTCCTCCTGAGTGTGAGGGGATAAGAAGCTGCTCAAACTGTAGCAAGTTGCCCCCGCTGTCACCATTTCTCCTGCAGTACTTTCACTGATCAATACTGAAAGCTTGAGCAGGAGAAAATATATATATATATTCTTAAAACACAGAAGTTGTGTTCCAGCAAGGCTGTTCATTAGGAGGAAGTGGGTACTTTAAAACTACTTCAGCAGTTCTCTAATGCTGTCTTGACAGCTGAATCCCAAGTTCACAGCGCTGGAGAATAAAAGCACTCGATAATGGACTGCTGCTGCTATTCATCTCCAGGTACACGAAACTCACCCCATCTCAGTGCCAAGTTGAACAGCATTGCTCCAATTCAGCTCTGTGCTAGGAAAGGAATGTGTTACCTCGCTGCTGCTTTCACCTGTTCCTTCTCCTCTGCTTCAGTGTGCTGTTTTTCTTGTGTATTTCAGTCTGCCTATGAGAGATTTCTGGTTTAATCTTGCCCTATCCAAACATTAAGCAGCAAATCATTATGCAATAAAGAGCAAAATGCATGCCTTTGTACTCTTTAGATGTGGGGAGCTCTTGTTAATTAGAAAAGAAGCAATGCAAAGTTTTCTGCCAGGATGGTGGGTGTTTTGCTTCTCTTAAGTTCTGACAGTAGCTGAGAAGCCCTTGAAAAAGATGTTCTTAGCCAAAATTCTTTTAGCATTCATGCTGTGAATGAACGCTTCAGTTTCTCGCTTACCATGTGGAGTCCTTCTATTCTTTAGCCCTGCATCTGATTTGGGGATTTGGGAACTGAAGAATGCAAGTATGTTTGGGTTTTTTTTCCCTTAGGAAACAAAGTTTTCTGTTGTTATTAGGACAGTATGACTGGTTCTTGTCACCTCCTGCTGTTATATCTCAAGGTCTTTGATGCGGATGATCTTGGAACCTGCAGAGAGCATGCACACATGTGCACAACTGTATGTGTTCGAGTTGGCGCCCTGAGTGGTGCAGAATGACCCTCAAGCCCTTCTCCAACCACTAAAAGTAAATCTCTTGTCAAAGCTAGAAGGACCTGGGAAGTTTACCACTCTTGTTTGTACCACTGGGAGCAGGTAGTGCGTTAGAAATAACCTCTGTAGAATGTTATTTGGACTTAACATCAGACCTTCTATGCAGTGAAATGTTGGTTTATTTACAGTGAATATAACTTCTTAGTAGAGAAAATAAATCTCTCTGTTCCTGATTCAAAGGAGACTTTTAAGCTTAGGAACCTAAATTGTAGCAATAGAACATAATAAACTGGGTATTTTTCACCTAGGAGAGCAAATAAAGTCTTTTTGGGTAGCAGATACATTTAATAACTCATTCTTTGGTGAAATTTTCTGGGATTGGAACAATCCCTGAATACTCAATTAATACACACCTTTTTCTTTTTGTCCACTGCTTCTGATCAATGGAGATACTGTTCTGTCCTGTGCCTCAGGCAGATCTGGGCCGATCACTTCTGGCCCAGGATCCTCCCTAGAAAAGGGGGTCTTGAAATGCCACCCTTTCTTGTCCTTCCTGCTTTCTGTGAATTGCAGAAGTGCCTTTCTTCTGATTATCTGGGCTTTATAGAGGGCTTTATAGAGAGCCGCTCATCCTATTAGGGGCTGATAATTAAGCTTTAAATAAAATACAGGCAGGCACAATATTGAACTGTTGTTTTGTTTTCCTTGTGAGTCTCTTTAACTGTTTGATCATCGTTTATTAGCGAACCGATAGAAAAGCTGCACTCCACCCAGCCAAATTCGAAACATCTCAGGCAGGTGCTGGGCTGAGAACTGACTGGAATAGTTGTTCATCCATAATGAGATTTCTTTGAGCAGAAACTTCTGAATCAGCACACAGATGTGTCGATCCAGTAACAGCAGGCAGAGGGATATGGGAGAACGTATCTGATCAGTGCTGCGTTGGGATTGGAAGGGTTGCTGAATTAGGACTCACTGCTTGTTTTCAAATCACTTGCTTCATTACAGCATCCGTCCAAAGTGAGTAGGCCCGTATTTACCCTCAGGTGTTCCTGCCCACAGGCATGTAGAGCTCAGTAAATGAGTGCTGTAATTTTGTGTCCTTGATTCTTCAAAACACAACTAGAAACTTAATTTGCTAAAGGAAGAGTTTTAATATGTTCTGAAAACGGGTGAAGTTGAGCACCCAAAATGACTGGTCACCTTCTGACATTCGATTGCTATGAAATACCTTGAGATTCTGAGATAAAAGCTGTTGGGGAATGACAGACGATTGCTTTGTGGGAAGGTGATCATTAACATTTACGTGCTTCTCAAATGCTGAGTGACTTGTCCTTGTACCTCACAACTGTCCATCTCACAGGCTTTCCTCACAAGGCTAGTGCATGGTACCAGCTGTCTTCTGCCTTCCCCCAGGTACACGCTGGCGGCGCAGGACCTGGTGATGCGAGCCCGGGGAGTGCTGAAGGACCGGGGCTGGCGAATATCCAACGACAGGCTGGGCTCTGGAGACGACATTTCTGTCTACGTCATTCCTTTAATACACGGGAACAAGCAGTCGTGAAAGTAGCTTCGAGAGTGGTTATGGAAAGGGGATCTTTTGGGGAAGGACCTGTAAGAGACGATGTGTTTTGGATGATCTGACCAGGACGTCTCCAATTGATGTAGTCTATTCATAGCTAATGCTGGAGGGGTACTTTTCTGCCTGAAAGACAGGGCTCTGCACATAGACTATGTATGATTACAGATAACCCTTAAGATTACAACTCCCCTGTAGTAAAGGTTTTGGTGCTTAATGGGAATGAGATCAAAATGCTGCTAGCATATTGTGGATTCTGTCATCCCTCCAGGTGAAGACCTGAAGTAAGAATTATTTTTTTTCAGTTTGCCATGTAGCTTGGAAGAGCCATTTCAGTTGTGAAAGTAGAAGTGAGTATCAGAAGCCAAGGAGGCTCCTGAAGTCTAACCCGAAATATTCAGAGCAGTGACTTGGATCACATCTCATTTAAAAATACTTTTATACATATAAATGAGACTCAAGAGTTTTCTTCTTTCAAAAAGTTGCTTTCATGACTTGCCTATGGACAACTGCAAACTGATGTAATCCTTTGCATCGCCATTTCTTCCCTCTGGTCTCTTCTTCAGTAGATTATATTCCTGTATTTTAGTAGGAAAACTGAAATTGTTTTTCGTGTGACTATGCCTGTTTACTGCAGCTAGAACAGCCACCTACAAAATTGTCCAGGAGAAATAGGTCACAGTCCTGTATTACGAGATCTGTTCAGGTATGAAGAATAATTTTCAAGACTCCCTGTTGTGTGTATACCAGAGCGAGGAAGCTTGCATTATGTGATGTTCACCTGGAGGTTCTGGTTCCTTTGGGATCAGAGATTTTCATTCTTTGAATGGTTCTGTCTGCCTTGTCCTGTTGGAAGGATCCCTGAACACACTGAACCTCAACTGAGGAAAAGTTCTACATTTATTTGAGCTCCTGAGTGTATTTTCAGCTGGATTTCTACTTGAAGTGATGGCATTGTTCTGGTTACTGGCTAAGATACTCAGGTGGTGATCTATTTAAGAATGATTTCACTTCTGGGTTCAGCATACCTTTGCCTGCTTGACTTGGTGACGAGAAGGTGACAGTTAATAACTTCACATCCTCTTGGTTGTTGAGGACTCTGGCTGAGGATCAGATGATCACTGTGATAGTTATGGCTAGCTTCATCAGCTTTTTCTTAGCAGTGCTAAGTCAGTTTAAATAAAGGAAATCCAAGGACATTGTCATAGTACAAGCAATAGTCCAAGAGAGTAACTACTGAGCAAATCCGCAGCTTGACTTGGCTGCCTGTTCTGTGGGCAGATGGCTCTTCACTTTACTGGCGGCAATTAAAAATTAAATCAATCCAAAGGTTCTCATTTACAGGAGGTGTGTCAGCCGGGAAGTTAGATTCAGCCTCTGTTGTCCCAGACCTCATTCTTTTGGAGCTGCTAATCTGACTTGTACATAAAAGCTACTTCTTGGATAGCCAGAAGACAGGGAGCTGGGCTAACTGTGGAGCAATGATTAGGCATCTCAAAGGTGTTTTATCCTTTCTAAAGGAGAAACTGCCGGCTCTAAGAGCAGGATACTGTGTCCTTGGTGTTCCTGGAGATGTGCACTCCTGAACAAGAGTGGCCTAGAGCTTGCCAGTTCTGTAATTTATAACGTGCTTTATAAACAAAGTACAGTGCTGTTTGGCATAGCAGCCCAGATGCTTTATTTGATTGCATCCAAAGTACGTGTGCAACATTCTCAGTGGATTTAAAATGTCCTTTCTCTAATTTCTAGACCCAGTAGGTGTTTCAGATTGAGATGAGCCAATGCAGAGTGTATAATGGCTCAGACATGTGTCCAACTGAGTGATTTTAGTCTGAGAACTGTTCCATGCGTTCCCCAGTGCCTGCGTGTGATAAAGCAGTGCAGGACACTGGTGTTTTATGTTCTAGAGCTCCAGTATCAGTCATATATCTGATTAGGTGTTGCCATGCTTTATCTGTTTGCTCCTTTTTGCTTTTCCCCCTTTCCTTCCTCTTCTTTGTGCACGTGGGTGAAGAGGTTTGCAGGTTTGAAGTCTAGAGTATTTTTCACATGGTCCTACATATGTTTCAAAGTCCAACCAAGAGATCTTTTTGTGCTCTTTTTTTCTTGCTTTTTTTTTTTTAATTATTACTATTGTTTTGCCTAATAAACTTGTCAACATGCTTTTTGTGCTCTGTGTAACTCCTGTTGTCTCTTTGCAAATGCATTTGTGTAGTCCTTTCTTTAATGGGGAAACTAATGGCAATTCCTCAGAAGTCACACGAGCAGCAATGAAGCTGATGCTTGCTGTGACCAACTTCAATCCCGAGTCAAATATTTTTGTGCCCATGTTTTGTTAGTCTTTGTTATTTAGTGTCATGGGGTCAACAAACATACCAGTCATTAGGAAACCACTGAGTACAATGGGGTTGAAGGAATTTCCAGTGCAAAGTTTGCCAAAATATAAAAGTGAAATTTTAAGGCAATGGAAATACCCTCTTTCAGAGGTGTTTTTAAATGCACCCTGAGAGTGGTGGGGCAGTGAAACAACCTGGGCAGACCAAACTCACTGATAAGTTGTCAGAGCAAAACCTGGCGGGCAGTGATACGGCCCTGTGCATCAGCCTCCAGCCTCTGTTGTTCGTCTGAGGTACTGCCATCAGTCAGCCTGCTTCCCAGCAACTGTTGTGCCCACCCTGGTCACTCTGTGTCAGCTGTGAGCCCTTCTGGAAAGGGCAGAGGTGCAGCATCAACAATTAATATCAATTAGCATCAACTGAACATTTTCAAGAGTAATAAAAAGCTTCCTACTCAGCTGTATGTGACTGAAACCGTGCGGTGATGTTTTTTGTTTTGCTTGTTTACAAAGTATCTGTTACGCGTTTACAGGCGTACCTACTGTGAGTGGCTCTGGTACATCTGTGGTTCACTGCTTTGGTGCCTGGGCTTTCACTTCTGTCCGCTTTCATTTGGGGCTTCTTACATGCCTGCACTGTGCTCTGCTTCATGGCATGGTACATACACGCACCAAGGCACGATACAAATAGGAAGCAGGAGCCATGAGTTGGGGAGATACCATGTGTGAAGCAAGGATAACAAAGCATTTCCTATTCTCTTCATGACATGCATTATTTGAGGAGTCATAGCATTAGAAATCACTGGTGACAGAGAGGAGTTGTGACCCACAGTACGCAGCACACCTTTCACTTGGGCGTGGGATGGATGTCACCATTCAGGCTTGCAGCTCCTCCACTGCTCCATGCAGCCCTTCAGTTAGGAGCTGCACCAACTCCAAAGTTTAGATCCCGGGCACATCACCTTAGTCACTGCCTGATCCTGGCAGCAGTGTGGCTTTTTGTCTAGTGAAGAAGTTCTGTTAGAACCTAGTGTTGTTTCAGCATTAGCAGCAAGGAACCTCAGTCCTGGTTACCTCTATCTTAGTAGGTAGTGCTCACCATGCCAGTGTGTTGGTAGGTTATCATTTCTTGGACGAGAGCAAGGAAAGGAAGCTCTTGTCGTTCACATCAGTGGGCAGTACTGTTAACACTGCCTTCTGGTGCCTGATGCAGTCCAATTTCTAGAAAATTAAAAGGAGCAGCTTCTGCCGTTCTCCTGTGAATACTGTTTCAGAGAGAAGTACAGCTGTGTCACAGCTTTCTGTCTCACACTACAGCCTGAAGTCATCTTTGCTTAACTTGATGAAGACAGTAGTTCGAAATTTCAGCCACATCTAAAGTGAGGCACACAACTGTCTCTTGCTAAATTAATGCAATGATGATTCCTTTATGAACACAGAAGTCTGTTGTTTAAGAGGGCTAATTTTCAATGTCCTCATGCTGGATAGAGAAACTGGTTTTAATACAAGGAATCTGAAAGAGCGACAGGGCTGACAACTAAAGGAGAAGCAGTCCTGGTTTGCTATCAGCAGTGAATTTCCATGTCGGAGTTGCTTCTGTGTTGAAGTACAACAGGGAGGTCTGTGAGGTGTGGTAGATGCTGTGCCTCCCGGATAGTTTTGAAGAGCTAAGAACTACACTTGATGTTTTTTACACTTTAAAAGGCTTTGAGCTTTTAGGTTTTAAAGAACACTACATGCTCCAAGCAAATCCACCGCGTTCCTTCCTGCCTCAGCATTCCGCTTCCTTTTATTTTTTGAAACATTTTGTGCAAACAATTTCAACGCTTGTATCAAACATGAGTTGCAGACTATATGGAATTGTTGTCCTTCCAACATTCTTGGTGTGTAAATAGTTTTCCTCCATGTGTCTGAGATGAAGATGCAGTGATGTGGCTGCCATAGACAGAGCGACCAAACAATGCTGTAACTGTGCTGCTGTATTTCTACCCGTGATGTACTTGAAGGACGATGCCCTTGTCCACCTCCACCCTCATTATTATTTTTTCTTTTTTTTTTCCTTTTTTTTTTTTGACTATTGCTGGTGATGATGTTGTTTCATAGGTATCTTATTTTGGTTTGGTTTGCTTTTTAATAGCTGCCACTTTTTTTTCTTTCCCTCGTTGGACAAGTCATCTTATTTGCAGACCCGTAAAACTGTCCAGGTTCTGTATGTCTTGAAGAACAGCAGAGCTGCTGGAGGAAGATGTTTTGGACCAATGTTCTTATGTTTTGTGACTGTGAAATGTTAATCTTTTTGTAACCTAAGAACAAAAAATGTTTGGTAAAGGGATATATTTTGTGTTTTTTGAAACTTTTCAGTGCAATGAAAAAAAAAGAGGAGGATGCTGAAGAAGTGTATGCGCAAAATTTTAAATAAAATTTTAAATTATATATATACACATCTATATCTATAACCATTATTACTCTGACTACGTCATGAAGAGTACCTTAGTCTCTGTGTGTTAATAGAGCAATACAGACCAGCAGAACACTGTTTTACCAGTGAAGGATCGTAGGATCATAGAATCGTTAAGGTTGGAAGAGACCACTGAGAACATTGAGCCCAACCACCAACCCCCCACCAGCACACCCACTAGCCCTGACACATGTCCCTCAGTGTCACACCTACACATTTATTGATATTTCCCTGGACAGTAACTCCACCACGTCCTTGGGCAGCCTGTGCCAATGTGTTGCCACTCTGAGAAAAGCTTTTCCTTCATATCCAACCTGAAGCTCCCCTGGCACAAGTTTAAGTCATTCCCTTTTGTCCTATCACCAGTTACGCAGGAAAAGTCTGGCCCCACCTCATCACCACCTCTGTCAGGCAATTACAGAGCGCAGTAAGGTCTCCCCTGAGCCTCCTCTTCTCCACACTGAACAATCCCAGTTCCCTCAGCCACTCCCCATAAGACTTGTGTTCCAGACCCTTCACAGCTTCACTGCCCTTCCCTAGACAAGCTCCAGGGCCTCGATGTCTTCCTCGTAGTGAGATGCTGAGGGGAAGTCTCGCACTTAATTCAGCAAAGTGAGTCCCCATGAGGTGTCGTAGCTTAGAGGATGGTCAGGAAGAGCTCCTGGAAAACTCTGAGCTGTGTCCTTCTGTAAGACTTCACTGTTCAGGCTGCCAGCTGCTATGTTCTGATTCAGTAAATTGCTATGCAAAGTGGTTGGGCATCATCTCTGTGGTGTGAAAAATTGGGTGCAAATTTTGCATTCACAGTGTAGCTGCAATATGCTTTTCCTCCTCCTCAGTTTCTTAGGAACTCCTGTCTCAAATTCCCCTTTCAGTTTATATTAGAGTAAAACCAAGGATGAATTCATTGATTATATTGAAAGAGGTTGTCGTGGCTGGTTCAGTAACCAAAGAGGCAAGTGTAGGTACTGCAGATACAGGACCTGACACCCCAGCAGTAACCAGCTATGGGGCTGGCAAGAATAGAGCCAGGTGCTTACTGCTGTCTTCAAATGTCGTGTCATAGCACAACTAGTTGTCCCCATTCTTATTTTACTTCAAATTCAGTAGAAAAACAATGAGAACAGTTCTATGCTGCTCGTGTATGCTGTGTTTGCCCCTGGCCTTCTCTGAGCACAGCAGCATGCACAGATGAACAATTTGCTGCACTCACTCTGGTTTTCCTTACTCTCCCATAAGCCCTACAGTTTATTGCTGCAGTCAGGCCACTGACCAAGTTTAAAATTACAGCATAAATATTCTTCAGCATGACTTTGTCTTCTCAGTGTAAGCTAAGCAAGACAGTGCCAGCAGTGTCAGGTGAGCCTAACGGAGCACGGTCCACATCACACTATTGCTTTGCTTCTCTTAGGCCCCACATCATCTGAGGTTATAGGTCAAGTAAAGCTTGTTTCCTTTTTTTTTTTTTTTTTCTTAATAGATAAAGCTCTTCAGATGTGGACATCAGTCTATAATTCCTGGTGCAATAAGTGTGATGGCATGTTCATGCTCTTATGCTGAACACACTCAGTTAACTAAAGCTATATAAAGGAACAATCCCAGTAATTTCTTATATTTTGTATAGTTACTGTAAAATGGAGACCTGATGTTTTGTCCTCTTAATGTCACCTTGTACAGCAACACACCTTCACAAAAACTTCACTTCTTCACAGTACTGCGCTGCAGCTTTTATTGATTCCAGAGTCACGCTCTGCTTTCCAGGAAGGCTTATGTAAACCAGAGTTACTGCACATCCTGTTCTTGTTACGAGGAAAGACGAGGGATTTCTTTTTTGAAGTCTTTCCACTTTGCAAAACAAAGGATGCCATAACTTTTTAGGGACAAAGAATGATTTGAGGAGGAATTCTGCTTTGAGGACAAGGTTAATAAAAGCTGTACGATCGAGGCAGACAAAACGCGTCTGCAGGTAGATAAAGAACAGATGACTCAGAGAGCCCCGTTTAATAATTTACGAACAATTAATCATAAATTTGAGGCTGTAGGAATGGTCTGCAGCACTGCCATGTAATACGAAGGGAGAGGAGGAAGCTGCAATAGAAAAGATAATTAGATCTTTGCTGCAGCTAACTTGAGATAGATTGTTTAGATGCACTGACAAATGAGAACTCTGAACCTTCATGAATTTTAGGCTGCATAAGATCAGAATTACATCGTTTTTCTTGGACATTTCAGTGCATAATTTCACAGGCTCTAAAAAGTCAAAATGTCCCCAACCTTTACTCCTGAGCATTTACTGCCTTAAGCAATAGGAGGCAATCCTTTATGTGCTCTTCCGCAAAGACAGCACTGCAGCCAGCTGCAGTGATTTGG